GGAACCGCTGGTAGTTTTGAACTACTGACCTTGCGGCTCACAGCCCAATTCGTAACCACTACGCTAAAAGAACTGACAAAAGAAAAATTCAAGTCTCAAGTTGCAATGTTGAAGGATTCTACGGGAGAAACAATGGAATCCTGGTATGGTGCTGTAGGATAAGCACTGGACAGCTAATCATGAGGTCGGCAGTTCAAACTCAGCAGCTCCTCAAAGCCCCTAGACAGGGTCACTATGAGTCAGAACTGACTCCACCGAAACACTATGGGCAAAAAAAAAATAGAAACACTATGGGAAAAAAAAAATAGGATAATGCAGGAAGCATCCAATGAAGATGGAAAAATTCACAATCACTGTACCACAAAGAATTAGTTGACATTTAACCATTTCAGGAAGTAGTATATACTCAAGAACCAATTGATTGTACAGAAGATGAAGTTCAAGTTCCACTGACGGCATTGACAAAAACAAAACAAAACAAAACAAGGTTCCAGGAATTGATAGAATACCAACTGAGATGTTTCAACAAAAGATAGAAAGCTGGAAGCACTTACAAGTGTATGCCAAGAAATTTGGAAAACAGTTACTTGGCCAATTGACTAGAAGAGATCCATATTTGTGCCCATTCCAAAGAAAGGTTATCCAACAAACTGTGAAAATTATCTAACAATATCATTAATAATGCACGCAAGTAAAATCATGCTGGAGATCATTTAAAAACTGCTGCAGTAATACATCAACATGCAATTGCTAGAAATTCAAGCCGGATTCAGAAGAGGATGTGAATTGAGGGATAGGTCATTGCTGATGACGGATGGATCTTTGCTCAAAGCAGAGAATACCAGAAAGATGTTTACCTGTGCTCTTTTCACTATGCAAAGGCATTATACTGTCTGGATCATAACAAATTTTGGATAACATTGCAAAGAATGGGAATTCCAGAACATTTGATTATGCCCATGTAGAACCTGTATACTGAACAAGAGACAGTTGTTTGAATAGAGCATAGGGATATCATGTAGTTTAAAATCAGGAAACGTGTGTGTTAAAGTCATATCCTTTCATCATACTTATTCAATCTGTATGCTGAGCACATAATCTGAGAAGCTGGACTGTATGAAGAAGAATGTGGCATCAGCATTGGAGGAAGTCCGTTAATAACCTGAGTTATGCAGACGATACAACCTTGATTGCTGAAAGCAAAGGAGACTTGAAGCCCTTACTAATGAAGATCTAAAACTATAGCCTTCATTATGAATTATACTTCAACTAAAGAAAACAAAAATCCTCACAACTGGACCAATAAGCAACATCACAATACAGAGAAGAGATGTAAGTTGTTAAAGGCTTCATTTTTCTGGGCTCCACCATCATTGTCCATAGAAGCAGAAGTCAAGAAATAAAATGATGTATTGCATTGGACAAATCTGTTACAAAAGACTTCCTCAAAGTCATAAAAAGCAAAGATGCTACTTTGAGGTCTAAGATGCACCTGACCCAACCCAAGTCATGGTATTTTCAATCACTTCATAAACAAACAAAAACTGGACAAAGACTAAAGATTAGAGAAGAATTAACGCATTTGAATTGTGTTGGTGAAAAACACTGAAATTACCATGGACTGCCAGGAGAACAAAGAAATATGTCTTGGAAGAAGTATATCCCCTTAGAATGGCAAGACCTCATCTCCTGTATAGGAAGGATCAGTCCTTGGAAAAGGATATCATGCTTGGGAAAGTAGAGCGTCAGCAAAGACAAAGGAAGACCTTCAGCGACATGGAATGACACAGTGGCTACAACAGTGGGCGCAAACACAGCAAAGATTCTGAGGATAGTGCAGGACTGGGCTGTGCTTCATTCTGTTGTGCTTTGAGTTAGAACCTACTGGATGGCGCCTAACAAAAACAAAACCAGCTTGTTTTTCGGAAGACTTTTACCAGTCTATAAAATGCCCATTTAAATCCACTAAAGACACACTGGACCACAAAGTCAGTTTGAACTGCAAAGTTGGTGGTTCAAACCCACCAAGCTGCTCCTCACAAACCCTATGCAGGGTCACTATAAGTCGGAACTGGCTAGATGGCACTTAACAACAACAACACAGCTCACCACATGCAAATAAACCTTTGGAACATGACGTTCTTCAGCTGCCATTACTCTCCTCATTTCCTTCTTCTTTTTATTATTATTTTTTTAATTGCTCTAAAAATTAGCATTCTTTGGGTCCAAGCTAGGAGCCATTTTGAGGTCCCCTCTCATTGCAGGCTGCCCTTACTTACATTGCAGAGCACCATCTCCGCCGCTCTGTCCTGTGTCTCCGCCCCCACACCACTGCCAACTGACAGCCAGGGAAAGGACATGCAAATAGACCCTAAAAACGGCTTGTTATTTTCACGGCCTAGATGGTGAGCATTTGTGGGTGCCTGTGAGGACAGGACGTCACTGTCAGGTACAGGGCATATGCCACCAGTTTGGGGTGTCTGTGAAATGTAAAAATACCCAACCCAAATAAAGGCCTTTTTCCAAAAAAAGGAAAGTGCCTCCCAAGCCTTTTGCAAAGGGGAATGGGGTGATTCTGCACATCCCTGTTGCCGCCCTCCTCCCGCCCACCACAGGCCAATTCCAGCTGGGATGCTGTTCAGTCTTTGGCTTTCAATAGTATTTATTGCCATGGAAGGACCAGGAAATGGTTGCTTTCAAATCATAGGGTAGAAGGGTGGAAGGCAGAGGGTCATTCATAAAGTACACGGCCCAAGCCAGCAAGCGCAATCAACAGCATGGTGATTTACAAAATCAGTCCAGAAGAATATAATTACAGTCACTCTTCTAGGAGTGGCGCCATAGGGTAAGCACTGAACTGCTAATTGCAAGGTCGGCAGTTCAAATCCATCAACTGCTCCTCAGAACCTCTATACAGGGTCACTGTGAGCTGGAATCAACTTGACAGCATTTAACAGCAACAACTCATCTTATAAATCAACAGTCTTTAGTGACCATTTACAATGCACCTAATCTGGGTGCCTTGAGCTCAAAGGTCTCCAAGTAGCTAATGTATATGACGGCAGTTGTGGCTGACAAAATGTCAAAACAACAGTGTAAACAGAATGGAGGCAATAGGGAAGTGTGGGAGCCTGCGGCAAACTGGAGAGAGGAAATTGGTGAGGTGAAGTGGTCCTCTCCATTCCATTTAGCTGTTGTCATTACACATTACCACTACAGGACACTGGATCACCAGATCTTCCCAAAGATCTAAACCAAAGGTTAAGCCCACATTTTCAACTGAAAATGCTGGGTCAAGTTTCTTTTAAAACAAAATGTTAGCCACACAAAACATATCTGCGAGCCAGATGGAACCCACAAATGACCAGTTTTCAATCCCTGAGCAAACTCCCAGCAGCCCATACCCTTCTTTCCAGTCTTTAGGATACCCAAGGTGGAGTGAAGGTAGAGTAATAGCTGCATTATATACTTAACTTTCCCCTCATTTCTCCCTCAAAAGTTCTTCCCTCAAAGGGAGAAAGGAAGACTCAATGCCTAGAGGGCACTCAGCTTCCAGGTTCTGTTAAGGGTGATAGAAGCCAATATGCTGAACAATATGGAGCCTGGCATGTTGCTGTAGGATAAACACGGGACTGCTAACTGCAGCTGGCTGTTCAAACCCACCAGCTGCTCCAAGGGAGAAAGATGAGACTGTCTGCTCCCATGAAGATTTACAGCCTTGAAAATCCTATGCAGGGTCGCTGTGAGTTGGAACTGACTTAACGGCAGTGAGAGAGACGTTGAACAATATGATAAGCATAATGTCACTAAAGCTGTACATGTGAAGATTGTTTAAATGTCAAACTTTTCGTTACATATGTATTTACCATAGTTTTTTTTTTAAAGTCCCTCCCTCGTAAACTTGCTCCATCCTGAAGGACGAGCCCACATCCAGACACCCCTGACAGAGCTGCTATCCCTGCCCTTCCCCCTAGCCACATTTCCACTTCCCACCACTGCCTCTTTCTCGCTTACAAGTGGGCAGCTACTCTCTTAGGCCCCTGAAGAAGTGGCTCGGCTGGGGGCCTCGCAGGGACAAACTGGCAGCCCTGGGCAATTGGCACCAATGTTGAGGCAGCTGGGAGATTTCTCACCAGTCTCCAGAGAAATACTGCTCTTTTGCAAGGAAGCTCGGGGAGCTGTGGCTTACAAGGGGGGAGGTGCTCTTCATGTGGATGCCTTAAAAACCCCATCTAAGGAACACCATTAGGGTGACTGAGACCATCCCAGCTCTGCTTGGGAAGTGAAGCCACACCATCCTGTTTGCAAATTCCCTCATCCAGCTCCAAACAGGGGCCAGACAGAGAGATGATGTCCCTAGCAATAACATTTTTAAAGAGAACCCAATAGGACTGGCATTCCTGGCCTTTGTTTTTATGAGTTTGTCATTGATTTTTATTTGTTTTCTGGGGGTGGCACTCTATGTATTAATAGTGCCACAGGTCAACTAGAGCAAGCATTTGACCAGATCCCGCAAAGATTTACAGCCTCAGAAACCCTATACAGGATCGTGATGAGTCAGAACCAACTCCACAGCACATGACCACCACCAGTAAGAGATTGAAACTGGATAGCCAAGTTGATTCTTTCATACCCCATTTTTTTTATTCCTTTTTTATAGGAGTCCTCATGCACTCAAAGCATGCCCATGTTTCCATAATCCCCTGTTCCTCACAACACCCCAGAGAAATGGCTCTGATACGACTGCTCATTAGTGCACTCTCATCCTTCACTTGCCCCTTGAGAAGGCAGGGAGCCAGATTCAGCAGTGCTGTGTAAACATGCCTATGTCCATGAATTCCCAAGTGTTCTGAAAATCCAGGTATTGATTCAGAAGGTCTGGGGTGGGACCCAAGATTCTGCATTTCTGTCAAGCCACAGGGTCTCTCAGATAGTCCTCAGACCACACTTAGATCACACAGCCAGCTGCCAGAGTTCTGTTTAGCCCATGCCTGGCTCACCTCACTTTTCACGGGTTGGGGCCTCTTGCCCAGTTTCACTTCCAGGAAGTGCAAGGGGGCAATCATGGCCCCAATGTTGCGGATGTCTGCGTACTTTAGCTCCTCTGTGGTCAGAGCTGAGCTGGGAAGGCCAGTCAGGGGGCCAAGCCCTGGCAGAGAGCCGGCAGTCACGGAAGGGTCCGGGATCTGCCCAGGCATCATAGCAGGAGGCGTGGAGGTCCAACCTGGAGGGGGAGAGAAAAGAGCAAGAACAGTGCTGTCAGCCAGGCAAGGGGCTCCAGGAGGGGCTCCAGACCCCAGTCCCTTCTGTCACCCATCCACTGGCTCTTCCTGCCTCTAAGTCTACCTTGTTATAGAGGACAACTTGATCAAGTACTTCACACCTCTGCTAAGAGGGATTACCTGATTTTTTTTTTTTACAAGAAAGTGACAATGTTCCAATGCTTAACCCAATTAATAAAAATAAAACACAACAATTGTTGTTAAGTCTACTCTACTCTGACTCAGGCAAATCTCTTGTGTGCCAGAGTAAAACTGAGCTCTACAGAGTTCTCAGTGGCTGAAGTTTGGGAATTAGATCACCAGGACTGTCTTCCAAGATGCCACTGGGTAAACTCAAACCTCCAACCTTTTAGTTAACAGCTAAGTGATTAACCATTTGCACCGCCCAGGAACTCTCAACCCAAGTATAACCCAATGCTATGAAGTTGATTCCAACTCACAGCAACCCTACATAGGGTTCTGTGATGAAATCTTTATGGGAGTGAGAGCAGCTAGTGGGTTTGAACCACCAACCTTATAGCTAACAGCCCAGCACCAAACCCACAGTATCACCACTTATCCAGCAGGTACTATGAGCCAAGCATTGTAGTAATCCTTCTATCAGCCCCATAAGACTGGATCCAAGCCCATTACACAGAACAGAAAGCAGAGGTCTACAAAGATAATTTGTTCAAGGTTGTAGACAGTTAAACCCAGTAGAGTTGAGATTGACATTACCACACTAGACCTCCCAGAGAATGAATGATAACTGTGGAATCTCAAGCACTTTTGCACCTGTTTAAGAGGAGCTATTTTTGGTTTGGCACAGTGCCTCCCTTCAAATCACACATCCTATTCTGCATACTTGTGAAGGCATCCTGAATACAAGATGAAGCAAATCTAAGTGAAAGGTGAGTGTGCGGTATGTGTGTGCTCGTGCATGTATGTGTGTGTGTGTGTCTAGTGCCTATGAAGATGAGGCTCAGGCAGAGGGGATGGAATTCATCAGCATGTGTTTTCCCTGTGAAACCCACTCCTTGGTCTCGTCGTTCTCAGAACAAACACATATTCTAGCTCTGCCACACACTGTAGGGTTGTAGGTGAAGACTGACGCAGGCAGGACGGAAGGACACAAATCAGACAGGTCACCACCAAGGGAAGTCTTATTTCTTCCTTCTTTTCCCTGAGGGGAAGCTCATGGATGAAAAATATTTGTTTCAAGACACAAATGACAATCTACCAGCAAAACCACATTTGTCTGGTCCCTTAAAAGCTTTCAGCTCACCTGCCATCCATTCATCCATCCATCACTCATTCATCCATCCATCCAGTTATTGACCACATATTCTGAGCCAGGCTGTGGAAAGGTAGAGATCAGATGTGCAAAGTCTTGGCTTTCAAGTAGCCTTGTAAACAGAGTTTTAATACAAAACGGCTCTCAAACTCCAGGCCTATATCAATTTTCTCCCCTTTCCCACCTTTCTGCACACATAAAATGAAACCTAGAGGAATGCTCTGACCTCTTCTTTCATCTTTTCCTGCCTCCTCCTATGGAGAGGGATATATGTGGGTACACAGTGGAAACTGGGTCTCCATTAGACCACATTTCTCTGTTGGGCACAGTTGGCACACTCAGATGGCAGCATTGTCTTGGGTTCTGTTTATGAAGGAGCAACGTTAGAAGATATCCTACGATCTCTTGCCTTACGGTTCTAAGGTCTAGATGTTCAGAGAAGGACATATTAGGAAGCCCAATTTGGCCACAAGTCCAAGTTGCATCCTCCTTGCAGTCCAGCTTTGCCAGTAAATAAAGGGAAATGTGGCTCCCTCTCCAGCTCTTATGTCTATTTGTCAATAGTTCTGAACTCTGAGAGAAGGATATGAGAATTTACCCTTTCAAACCACAAAAACTTCCACTGCACATAATTTGCTTTAACTAAAGGTGCACATAAGCAATGGGCTTGTCCTTTCAGGCTCGGTACCCTGTTGCATCTGCCCAGAAAGTCATTTGCACAGAGCTCCCTGCTTTGCAATGCTGTTTGTATTTGGTGCCTTCAGGCGCTTTCATCTGTGCTCCACCTACTCTATCTCCCACACAAGGTCCTCTCAGCCCTTCCTTCCCACCTACGTACTTTCTCCGCCCCCTTAGCAGCTAGAGTCCCCTGAGCTGTCTCAGAAAATGCTCTGATACTCATTTTCATGTAAGTTCAGAGCTAGAAGAGGCCCTGTAAACTCATCTAAACCACATCCTTATTTTGCACATGAGGAAACTGAAGCTCAGAGTGGCTAAATGACTTGCCCAAGGTCACACAGCCAGAGAGGGACAGAGCCAGGGCTAGACTCCAGGTTCCTGGAGTTTTAGAACCAGTACTTTTTGGTTCTCCTCTAGGGAGTTCCAGAGATGTCAGACCCTTCAGCAGGAGGAATGACCTTCTAATGGTGAACTTTCAGATGCTGGCCCATAGGGAGGACCATTTTCTTGCAGAGAGCGTCCCTTTATCAGACATGCAGGTTTAGGAATAATCTCTCTTCCCACCCCACCCCACCCCTTGAGCCCCCCTAAAGAATTCCATGGCAGCCTGAGAGGCAGCCCGGCATACAAATGGTCCCTGTGCCCTCTCACATGTGGCTATCCACTGTGCTGTGGCCCTCCCTAAACCTGAGCTGGGTGAGAGGCCAGGGTCCACCAGGGAGTCACCCCTCAAGGACACCCTCGGGAGCTGGAGCTGCAACACAGGTAGGGCTACCGGCTGCCACATACAGAGGTCTCTCAGGGGCACCATGTCTGAGCCCTCTTCCATAGAGAAGAAGAAAGGGGTCAATGAAGGGACCATCGTGGTGAAAACAGTGCCACTCAGCAAGCAGAGGGGTGACTTCAGGTTATCTGAGCCAGAAGGACACAAACTCACATCTCTCTCTCAGCTGAAAAGAAAGCCTACAAAAATCCCCTCTCACAGACAGGGATGAATGCAACAAGGAGTCAGTGACCCAAAATAAGGATGAAGAAAAATGTGTCATCAGGATTGGAGGAAGACTCATTAACAACGTACCTATGATATGCAGATGATACAACCTTGCTTGCTGAAAGTGAAGAGGACTTAAAACATTTACTGATGAAGATCAAAGAGCACAGCCTTCAGTATGGATTGCATCTCAATGTAAGGAAACAAAAATCCTCACCACTGGACCAATAAACAACATTCTTATCAACGGAGAAAAGATTGAAGTTGTCAAGGACTTCATTCTTCTTAGATCAACTATCAACACTCATGGATGCAGCAGTCAAGAAATCAAATGATGTATTGCATTAGGCAAATCTGCTGCACAAGAACTTTTTAAAGTGTTGAAGATCAAAGATGTCAACTTGAGGACTAAGGTGTGCCTGACCCAAGCCATGATATTTTCAATAACCTCATATGTATGCGAAAGCTGGACAGTGAATAAGGAAGACCGTAGAAGAATTGATGTTTTTGGTGTTGGAGGAGAATACTGAAAGTGCCATAGGCTGCCAAAAGAACCAATAGACCCATTTTGGAAGAAGTGCAGCCAGAGTGCTCCTTGGAGGCCAAGATGGCCAAACTTTGTCTCTCATACTTCGGACATATTGTCAGGAGGGACCAGTCGCTGGAAAAGGATATCATGTTTCGTAAGGTGGAGGGTCAGGAAAAAAAGAGTAAGAGCCCCAATGAGTGGATTAGCCAAGTGGCAGCATAGATGGACTCAAGCGTAGCAACAGTAGTGAGGTTGGCCCTGGATTGGGCAGTGTTTCGTTCTGTTGTGCATAAGGTCACTATGAGTCCGTACCGACTCAATGGCACCTAACAACAACAACAAACTCAAAACAGCACTGTGAAGCTGGGAAAAGCTCTGTGGATACAGACCCCTAGCGAGGGATGGAGGGACCACCTCAAAGGAACGGAGCAAGGCAAAAACACAAGGTAAAAGCCCTGCCTTGGCAAGAATCCCAGGAGCCTTTCTGTACTGCCAGCCCCAAGGGGACAAGCAGTGGCTATGACTGGTGATCTCCCCTGTGTGACCCTGCCATAGCTTCAGGCAGAAAAAGGACAATCAATAAACACATGTAGAATTAAACAAATAAATGAAATAAAAGAGCCAATGATCACAGATTCATGGCAGAGCAAACTTTGGTGAGAAGGGGAAGGCTCTGTCTCAGGAAGTTTAGATGTTCATTATCCGACCATAATCTCACCTCCAGGCTATTCATTCCCACAGTAGAGCCCAAGAAAAATACTCCAGTAAGCTTCCCTGCCTGAGCCATCGTGTCTGGGAGATGAAAGCCAGACCCCACTCTGGTCTAGCACTGATAGGCTCAGCTTGTAGCTTCTGTTTATTTTCATGCACATGGTATAAATGAGGCACTAACAAGTGATCCCAAAATATAATGAGTTCTCTGCTACTGTGGAACCATCTGGAAGGGGAGTCACCTCCTGAAGCAGCGGTCCCATAAATTGCTGTTCCCCATCTAGGCACATCCTCCTGTTCCCCCATAATTCCACCCCAATGATGGAATCTCAGAGGGCCAAGCATTAGTCAGCCCTTTCAGAAATAATTGTTCCCTTATCTTTCCTTCTCCTATGAGGGAGCCCCTAACTGCTCAGTTACAAACTACAAAGTTCTTAACACAGGCCATCCCCAGGAGAAGACCACCACAACTGACATTCATCCTGCCTATCTCAGGGGTCAAGGGTAGAAGATCGAGGTGCTGGAGTGACCACCTTTCATAACTGGATCTGCATGACCGACAAAGAACTGGCTGACAATATAAGACTGAAGGCAACTTTGGTGATGTGTGAAAACTAAAGTAATTTGTTGTGACCAAAGCATCTTTGAAAGGTAGGTGGGGCAGGGACCCAAGAGCAGCCAGGAGGAATTTGCCCACTTCAAGGGAACATAGGAAAGATGAGAAGAGGTGAAATCATCCCTCAAGCTGGTTATTT